CTCCTATCTTTAGGGTTAGATTAGGATTACTGATATTTATTTTAAAACAATATTCAGCTAATGCTGATTATCTTGTATTTCCTGCTTCAGACCAGAGAGAAACTGCCGATGATTTTTCAGTGATTTGAGGGTTGCCACACAAACTCCCCCCCGCCCCACGCCCCCAACAATGGGATGGCAGGAAGCTCTAATGCCTTGAGCTATCCAGCCTTCTGCTTTAATACGCAGAAGAGCCTGGCAGGAAGAACTTTGAGGTCTCGCTCTTCTGGAATGGAACTTTGAAGTCCCATCTTGTGAGAATTTTTTTTAAAATTTAATTCAAAAAAATATGTGAAAGAACAAGCAGCCTATAGATAGGGGATGTGTGTAGAGATCAACAAGTCAGAAACCAGGGCTAATCATCATGTTGACATCTAACTTATCCTTTTCTTTCTTTTTCTTAACACCTTAAGGCAGTGGTCTTCAACGTTAGCAACTTTAAGACTTGTGGACTTCAACTCTTTGCTGGCTGAGGAACTCTGGGAGTTGAAGTCCACAGGTCTTAAAGTTGCCAAGGTTGGAGACCACTGCCTTAAGGAATGGACAGAAGGCCCTGAAGGGGACCTGAATGGGAGAATTTCTCCAAAACTCCCTCAATCCATCAGCATTCCCATACCACTGGCAGCTCGTTCCTTCCACTTCTGCTTGTTCTCTTGGATGTACTTGCTCCAGGTGGAACGGAAGCTTTTGATGTCAGCGTTGATGTCCCCCAGCTCAGCATGCTCATCTACAGAAGTCTGGCGCCAGGTGGAACTGTGGGCAGTGAGATACGGTCAGAACACGTTGCACATCCCCTGAATGAAGGCAGCAAGGAGCAACTGTGGACATTTCCCCTTCTCTCTTCCCTGTGCTGGCTCCTCTTGAGCTCTTCCACTTCATGCCTTGTCATCCATACATCTCTCTCTTACAGCTCTCTAGCAATGTACTTTTAAGGGACTGCCTGGTTACGTACTTTTCTACAGTATGAGTTTGGAGACGCATTCTCACCTTAAAACACCCGTTTTCAATGCATGAAACACTTTTGGATGGGCAGTGGGGATATAGAATCTGACATCCAGCCATCCAGCCAGCCCATTCCATTCCTCATTTGACCACGTTTCCTCACCCATTCAGTAAATTCAATGACAATGACCCCTATACCTGTGATGGTGAACCTATGGCATGTCTACCGGAAGTGGCCCACAAGGCCATCTCTCTGGGCATGCCAGCCATTGCCTGTTGCTTTTCTGGGTTCTGGCATGCACAGGGAGCACCAGAAACCGGAAGAGCAGTTTCCTGGCATGCATACATGCGCCAGCCAACTGGTCTTCATGCACGCATGCGTGCCAGAAACCGGAAGACCAGGTGACCGGCAACGCATGCGCGCCAGGGAACTGCTCTTCCGGTTTCTGCTGCTCCCCTGCATGCATGTGTGCACTCTCATTTCGGCACTCGGTGCCAAAAAGGTTCACCAACACTGCCCTATATGATACGTCTCTATAACTATTGCGCTTCCATTTTTTACATTGAAGATTCCATTTTGAACTGTATCTTTGTCAGACTTCCAAAAGTCACATTTTCAAACAAAGTGAGAGAAGATTCCTTTGCTCTTTTAAAGGAAAAAAAACAACAGTCCAATAAGAAAACGTTTTATCATATTGAATGGCACCATCTGACCTTAACAAGGGGGTGGGAGGAATATATTCTTTGCCTGGGAAACATGCTCTGAATATTTCTTCCTTGGTCTCCACTGGACAGGTCAGGGCTGTACAAGGCAGCAGAAGAACCTCTACTGCTTGTTGTGCTCCTACAGGGGATATTCATGCAAAGCCTGATATGGCTGCCAGCTAGGCTTTGGCATCCTGGGAAATTGGGGTTTCCACCTGATCTCACAGGCTGCTTGCAATCCCTTTGGCCCTCATCTTTTGCTCTGATCAACAGGCAGCATATGTGAGGAAAATAGGCCTCGAGGCCCTGGACTCACCACCAGAGAGCAAACCTTAAAGGTATTCTCCCACAGGATTCATTACTGCTATTCCCTATTGACCCTGGGCAATGATGTACACTCTGCTTTTCACCTAGAGATGCATTGCACCAGCCATACAAATGCATTTATTAAATTTGTACGCCTCCTCTGAAGCCCAGGAATCCAGGAGCCAAGATGGTTCAAGTGAATCCAGGTTAATTACATTCTAGCGCACTCTATAAAAATCTGAACTACTAACAATCAAAGCAAATTGGCAGTAGATAAAAGTCAATGGAATTCAAGGTAGGCTGGACTTAGACCCCTTGTGGTTATGGACTCGAGATTGATGACGTGCTTGACCCCTCCCTCAGACTCAGCCTGGTCATCTCACCACAGGACAACTTGCCGTGGGACAATTCCACATGGGATAACTCAATGCAATAAAAGTTATTCGCCACTATTTCTTCAACGTTATTTCCATTGACAAAAATGGAGGTCATGTAGAAAAACCAGTGGCGGATAACATTTACTGCATTGAGTTATCCTGCTTGGATTGTCCCACAGCGGGTTGTCCTGTGGTGAGCTGGCCATGGGTGAGATTGCTATGGATAGAGGGCCATGCCGGGTTGGGTTAGGGTTAGGCCATGGTGAGTTGACTGCAGCAAGTTGTTCTAGACCCCCAGATAGGTAGGGAGGTGGGTAGCTGCGAAGGATCCGTGCCTTCTCCAATCCATTTAGGGAGGAAGGAAAGGGGGAAGGAGTGTATGACTATATAGACCATCAAATTGTACTATTACTATGACTGATCACAGTCATCCAGATGTTCAGACTCAATCTGGCATTTCTATCCAGCTATCTAATCTTCCCCAAGGACTTGGAGAGGCTGTGGCTGTTTTATAAAACCAAAGGTGCCGTTGCGGAATGTGAGCTGTTCCAAGCACAGCTGCCGTTTGCAATTGATTTATTATCCAATTGACATATTATGGCTTGTCATTATTATAGTTTGTCACACAGCCAGCCAGATGTCTAGACTGGATTTGGCATTTTTAATCCACCTATCGAATCCTCTCCAAGGTTATTGTTGTTATTTTCTGCTTCTTTTCAGGCACCGAAAGAAGGGGCTTGCGAAAGACCATGTGTGGCTGTCTATAGGCAGGGTCAGCTCCTAACTGGAGGATGAAGCTATCCTTCCTGCTGGAGAAAATACTGACTCTTACAGCTGGGCTGAGGCAGAGCAGTTTCTTTAGGCATTTATTTGATGCTGCCTGACTCCAAACATCACAATGTACTAGACAGTATAATAAAAATAATACTGTTTTCAAAGGCTAGACCAGTCAGAATGCCCTCAGGGACCCAGAGAAAACAGTTTCTCTTAAAAGACAGTAACATATTTTTTTTTGCGAGAATTGTGAACAAGACTGAAAAGCAATCTTCCACCTGCTGATCTAGACTAGGGAGGTCAGATGAATGAGTTCGAATGTTGGAAAAGCAGGACAAAATCCTAGGAAAAATTCATGCCACAAAGCAGTGTTCCTCAATATCGGCAACTTCAAGATGTGTGGACCTCAACTCCCAGAATTCCCCAGGCAGCCATGCTAGCTGAGGAATTCTGGGAGTTGAAGTCCACACATCATGAAGTGGCCGGGATTAAGAAATGCGGCAATAAATAATGCCAACGAGGTTCACTCTCGGCCTCCATGGCTACATCTCCCTGTGTTCCACAATTCCCCATCCCTACCAGTAAATGCAAACCTGCTCTGCTGGCTGGTCGATTTATTCTTGGAACCTTCTTCCACTAAGGGGATGACCATTTTCTCCGCTACGTCTGTCAGAACTTGGAAAGTGGGTTCCACAATAAAGTCAATGAAACCTGTAGAAGGAAAAGAATGTTAGGGACAAGCCCGTGAGATTTCTTCTGAAGGGTTATTGCACAGAGTGCAATGAGGACAGTTCGCTCTGCTGTCCCTGCGGCAGGAGGAAATAAATCAAGGGAGTGGAGGATACATGAGCATCTCCACTACATTGAGGGAGGAAAGGAAGAGGCGGTCAAGGAGAGCTCCACCGTGGCATACAGTCTGGGGTTGTTGATTTTTTTACCACTCACCAATCTGTGACTGGGCCACCAGGGTGGACGTGCGATCACACAATGGGGAGAAGGGCAATCCCAGCTCAGCTTCCTTGTCTCCCTATAAAAAACAAGTCAGATAAGAACCAAGTCTTGTAATGTGGTGGTTGAGACACGGCATATGTAACCCGATCAGTTATATTCAAGGGAAGTGTTAAAAAACTTGGCTAGTTTCAATTTGCATGACTGTGGCGCAGAAGTCATACAACCCAGTCTCGGGAGTGCTTCACAATTCAGTGTATGATGTATAAATCCAGAAAATAGGCTAATTGGTTAACCAGGTGTAAAAACATGCAGTGCAAACTCAGCCACAGTTCAGGCATGGAATATAATCTTTCACTGAAAGCTCTATAGATTCAGTGCAATAGCAATAGCACTTAGCACTGACACTTAGATACCGTTTCACAGTCCTTTATAGCCCTCTCTAAGCGGTTTACAGAACCAGCAACTTGCCCTCAACCATCTGGGTCCTCATTTTACCCACCTCAGAAGGATGGAAGGCTGAGTCAATCTTGAGCCTGGTGAGATTTGAACTGTCAAACTGCTGGCAGCCGGTGATCAGCAGAAGTAGCCTGCAGTACTGCACTCTAACCACTGCACCACCGTGGCTCATACCTGACAACTATGGCTTTGTTTCAACAAGCAAATGTTTGTGACTACCAGAAAGGTGAGGGTGATTTCATCAGTCCTACCTGGCATCCGAGCCCCAACATTATAACCCCATCCATGGAAGAACCCCAGGCATACCTGGCGGAAGAACTCTTCCATGAGAGCTTTGGTC